CATTACAATGAGAAGGTTGTCTCTAAATGCAATAGCAAATATTTCTCTTAAGTTATAGTATCAGTGACTAAAATTACACGTGGACACCACGTAACTTACGAATATAAATTAATTGTGGTGTACAAAATGCCTGTTTTCTCTGAACATGTCACACACTATTTGTACAAATTACAGTTAGATTAATTGTCACACGCTTGTGGCCTAGTATTAAATAGTGCAGATATGGTTGTGTTATTTTCATTCATTTCATAAATGGAATGGTATTGTGTGTTGTTTATAGATTGATTTCACTGATTCGGTGAAATACTGAACGGTAACTTGTACAATTGGTCTACACATTTAGTTCCAGATATTGATGCTTATATGACTTTAAAGTGGACTTTGTACATTACCTTGTCTTTAAAGTGTCGTCACATTCCATTCAAAAGAGATTATCATCACACCACAAATTCTCTACATTTTGGGTGAATGAGTGAGTGAGGTATGCCATGTTTAGCACTCTTCCATCTGTATATGAGCAGGGGGCACCAGAATCGGGTTTCACACATTGTAGGTGTCTAACTGAGGCTTAAGCATGACGAGACAACGCTTTAACCACGAGTCTAAACGACCGCCCCTACATTTTGAAAGGTACGGTTTTATGTGTGAATCAAATGTCTAAATGCCAACATATATTCTAATTTTACTATGGATCTCAAGACATAACATTATTTGCTGTCTGGGAAAGGCTGCATTAACCTGATAATGTAAGTTATGGGATGTATATCTGTCCAATAGTTTGATCAATAATCAGTACAAGACACACAGAGTTCAATGTCGACTGACAAAGCCTGGAGTGACAAGGGCTATTTTATAGTTGTCCTCACGTTTATTTGATAACCAGCGACACTTGACGGTGAGCCATATCATATTCAATCAACATTGATCCGCCTCGTAAATGTGTGTAGTATTTGTCACGAATTAACAGAACAACTTTACAGGACTCCGATAGGAAACGTAATAGCCATGCACACGAAAGCAGTTCTTAACGACAAAGATCAAACTCTCGAAAACGTACATGTTTTTTTCTGGCCACCTTTGAATTACTTCTCCAGGACTTACAGCCTTCAATACTCTTTCACACTGATCCACAGTGCCTTTACAACCAACGAGTGTTCTTAATAGAACGGCAAACAGTTTTAACTGTATGTATTTACACAGTCTATTGGCGCGGGGACCCTATAATATATACCCCTGTCGGGGGGTGGGGGTGGGTTGATAGAGGCTCGGCGTTCTAAGTGCTTACTCGTTTACGTTTTACTTTTAGATATCTCTCGAACTTGTCTCGAAATATAAAATATTTTTGTATGGAAGTTAAGACAAGGCCTTAATGCATCTTTCACGTTCTCACCGATCCATCTACCCAGACTGCTGCTTCACACAACAGGTGTCCATATACCAAAGTATGCACTTTCATTGGCCATAAATACCATTTTATATATTTCGTTAACGAATTTATTAATAAACAATTAACACCAATCTGGAGGATCTGATCAAGGGTGGACTGCCCCCATCAGAAACTTCCTTTGGGGTTCTTCTAACAAAGTAAAATACTCTTCTTTGGTCAACAGCAGGGGTAGTTAATTCATTTCAATCTATCAAAGACAACATCCTTATTTTTCAGTCAATTTGAGAAATGGATTATGATATTGATTGTAACATACACATGAAAAGAGAAATGTTTGCTTAATTACAATAGACATCACTTTTTATTAAATGACATACCGATATCCGAGGTGGCAAGTTTTTGCTTGAAAGAACCATTGCTGAGATCACACATACAGTATTTGCATCACAGACCTTCTCATGACTTACTCCAGTATATCAACCAGTACGAATTATTCTGGCGTTGTTTTGTTGCCGTCATGAAACATGTCCGACGCTTGCATGATGACAACAGTTGACAAAATCAACTTTCTGTGTCCTTTCCAAATCTGTTTCATACTGAATTAATTTCATAAATGGAAGCCCATTTCAGGATTCCGAGGCAGACTAGGTCCCCAGTACCCTATGCTTGTAAGTGTTCTAACAATGATGTGGTTGGTAAGGTTGAGAATGTGTCACCTAGTTGGATAAATGCTCGTGCTATCAACCACTTGTTTGTCGGGTCCGAATATTTACACTGCGGCGTAAAACAACCTTCACTTACAAACTCATTAGTTGAGAGGCCGTTTCGATCACTTAACGCTGTACGTGTTTAAATATTGAATAAGCCATAATTATCCAACGTTGAATAAGATCACATAAGACATCAGAATAAATCACTAAACGTTCGTAATAAATTCGATCACTATTGATTCTAACACTTTAAGTAGCAAACCCGGTAGGGAATTATCTCTGATTAACGATCAGTAAAAACACCTGCAGAACAGTCATCTTTATGCAGTAGTATTTGAACTGCATCACCCGCGGAGAGGCCAACACTGAAATGCAAGCAAACAATTAACTCATTCTCAAACCCCGAACCAAGATAACCCCAACACGACAGACAGCCGGGCATAGTTGTGGAACTAAGCCGAGGTGAAATTACATTACCCTTTACAAGCATGCGAGATTACAGTGTACCCTGGGCCAAAATGATGTTATTTCGAATCCCATTTACATTGTATTTGGACAACCCTATTTATGAATGATCTTTTTTAGCTTATATGTTATCTGAAATTATTATGTTTACTTTGCTTGAACTAAGAAACATGGACAGGAATGAAAGATGGATGTGACAGCCGGTTAAAGATTGAAATGATAAGGCACCGAATTTTCTCTTTAATGCTACGAAAATGAAATTGCAAACATGAGTCGATAAATTCAAGAGTATTGATCAAGTTAAAATGAAGGAAATATCATCTGAAAAAAACTATAATAAAAGTTTTACAAGAATAAAAACATGTATTTTATTAAAACATAAAAGGACAGCATTAATACTGGTTGCACTTGGTACCCTGTTGTTATTTTAAAAAATAGTCTCAATTGAGGCAGTTCAAAACATTGTGATCAAAATTAGACTGTTTCTGTAGTCTTATAGACACTACACATCTTTATCCATGTTTCGATGTTTCCAACCGTTGTCATGTGGGTGGGGGTCGTTTCTCTTTCCAAACTTGTCTGTTGTTTGCCTTTCATGTGTTGTTTGGTCAACTCTGATTTATGCTAAGCACCAGAGGAACTGTGTAGTACCACCAGCACATTTCACTTTGTCTCTGATCAAAACAAAAGTCCTATATATCACTGATGTACTCCCCCGATCCATACAAGTCACTAAAGCATATATACCAGTCACATTTTGATAGGGATACGGACATATCTCATACTGTCAGAAAGCTTTGAAGACATCTTTATGTGTGTTTAGGTTGAAATGAAGCTGAATCCTTCCACAACCTTGTAGTAGCAAATAGTATTCGTCTGACATCTCCAAGCAATAAGTTCCTTATATAAATCCCTGCCTGGACACTAAGAATATCTCTATCAAAAGTATATACTTATATATAGTCTTTGTCAATAGTACAGTACACAAGGGCAGGTAACTCTAACCCCAACATATGTGTTGAAGGCAAAATGTGCACAACTGCAGGCTAATAGAATTATTGTGAAACTATAGTTTCTTCCTTAGGAATTTAGGAGTTGAGTTCTAAGTAAGGATAAAATATATGGATGAACAACTTATTCGTTGCTTGATAACTGTGTAAGAACCTACACCTTAACTTGCTCCTAACTGTAATAGTTTAGTTTATTAGTTTGTTTGTTGTTTAACACAGCACTAAGCAATATTCCAGCTATATGACGGTGGTCTGTAAATAATCGAGTCTGGACCAGACAATCCAGTGATTAATATCATGATCATCGATCCACACAATTGGGATCTGACCACCCGATCCCGTTAGTCCCCTCTCTTACGACAAGCATAACCGCCTTTCACGGCAAGCATGGGTTGGTGAAAACCTACCCCGGATCTTCACGGGTCTCTAACTGTAATAAAGACCTTTATCCATATATAGTATCCTTACTTAATGCAATAAGGGTGCAACTATTGCAATACCAGGCATTAGTTTGATAAGTCATGGTCACCGAAGTGGTAAACGTCTGAGACCTGCATCACTAGGGGCTTTCCTCCCACATTAAGCTGACATGCTGTGATATAACTGAAAACTGTTTTAAGTGGAGTTAAACCCAACTCACTCACTCACTCACTTGACATCAATACAATGCCAGCAGCTGCCGTGCACCAATAGTTGGATGATTCATTACACCTACTATTGAGCATCAGGTATCTTCCCGAGGCTAGAGAGTTAACTGACTATAAAAGTCTAGTTACCACCCTTGCCGAACTAGGCTGGAATTCCTGGGCTCGATCGTAGCGACACCAGTGGCTATTACGGGTTATGTACCTTCTAAGCCTCTCATATGGACCAATCAGATTCCACCTCTTGTTTCACCTGCATTTGCTTAAAACAAAATGGCAGCACCCAGTGAAGACAATCTGCTCAATAATCAAGATCTATATTGTGATAAAAAGGGTCGTACACCACAAAGTGCATCAAATCACACGAGCACGTTGATTAAAAACATGAAAAGATTTGGAAAATATCTGTTGACAACGAGTTGGCGGTGCACATGCTTTGTTAATCCTGCAATCGACCGAAATCTGCAGGACGGTTTACCAACCGGATTTCGATTTCGTTGCGCGATTTTGATTGGACTATGAATAGACTCCTTAGTCCAGCCAAAATGTAACTCCATAATACCTAGTTGGGCAAGGGTGAGACTGGAATTTTATAGTCAGTTAACACTCTTGCTTTGGGAAGATGAGCATCAGGCTGATGTCTGACATCTCGGTTACCCTCATGTCCAGGCCACAACAACTTCCATGTCATTAGGCCACGCCAATGCAACTACTTCTTTTACAGATATTTATCCCCATAACACTTGAAGGCAGGAGAGCAAAAACATATAAAAATAAAAACAAATTATTATTAAATTTATGAATTTATTATGTCTTTTACCTCATTTTCTTGAATATAACACATACCCCCATTTTGGGGAATCTATTTTGGGGAAATAGCTCTCCTTTCACTTTAGCGAGTGTTCGGCATACTTTGCTGGAGCTGACAGGATTGGACAAACTTAGTCATAAAGCATGGATAAAAGTTAATACCTTACTTTCATATTACCATTTTATTACCAGACTTTGGATCTCAGGCTTCTTTCAATCTATCAACACATTGTAAATAATAGTTGGATGCAAGAAACATAATCCGGATTCACTTCAGACAAATTTCAGAATTTCAGAAAATTTCCTGTATTTAGATATGGATTCATATCTATTTCTAAAGGGATTTTACTTTAACCGATATCAATTATCTTTTCAATTATAAGTACATATATGTCATTATTTCCAATTTTCAAAACAAACTGTAAGGTCACATTTTCTTAGAAATGTCAAACACAATAACAGGCAATCTTCATAACAGTATTTGTTTATCACAGAATACTCGCCAAAACAAACAAACACAATGACAATATGCCCATGTTCAGTCTTCGTCCCCTTTGAGCTGGGAGTAGAGGTTCACTGTTGCCTCATCGCCATCACAAACTGCTTCATCAGCAATTTTCTGCAAGCAGATAGATAGCCATGAAGTACAAGTAACATCCAAGTGATAACATATCTACACCACAGATGAGTTTGTTGCAGTCAGTACTTTAAGTTAGAGGTGGGTATGTAAGGAGATGTTTTGTATGGCACTGTCTTTGGGTTTGCTCTTGAATATCTGGACAGATAATCTGCTCATCATATATATTTATTACAATGTGAAAACTGAGTGTGGCATTACAGTATCTATACATTTGAAAGGAACGATATCCGAACAATTCCAGACCTTGTGGGGGTAGATGATATTCCTGACACCCTACATGAACCAGAGGAAGATCCTTCTGGAAGAAGCTTATATTCCAGACACCCCACCTTAGCTAGAGGAAGATCCTTCTTGGAGTAGATGATAATCATCTCACTGTACCTTAGCTAGAGGAAGATCCTTCTGGGAGTAGATGATAATCATCTCACTGTACCTTAGCTAGAGGAAGATCCTTCTGGGAGTAGATGATAATCATCTCACTGTACCTTAGCTAGAGGAAGATCCTTCTGGGAGTAGATGATGTTCCTTATGACAGCTTGACGAGCCAGAGAGACATCATGACCTCTACTTGACCTGACTGACCCTGCAATCAGAGCCCGCTGGTAGTGTCGACGAGAAACTCTGCAACAAAATGTTGAGAAATTACAGTGATATGTAATAATGCACTGAACAAAGTAATTGGATATTGGAAATTTTACATCTGTAAATTGTATATTTATAAATCTATCCTATCTCACACTATGTATTTCTTCTTCCTTCTTTCGATCATAAATGGAAATGTGCTTGAACAAAGTTTCCAGCTTCTAAAAAACAAATCACCCGAACACATCCCAGCAGCACCATGGTCACCACCCAAACAAATGGGTCATGCACTGTTATCCCGTGCATAGCTGTGATGCAGGGAAGGTCGGAAGGGCATATAGCATGTGAGACAGAATAAGTACATTAATATACAATTTATAGGAAAATTTCCTAATTGTTTAATACTTAGCTGACTAATGTTGCTACAAGAAGTGCCAACTTTTCAATTTAAAAGCAACAAAAAAAACGGATACCAAAATGTTCTTGATATCTGCTGCCAACATTGAATTTTGAAATCAAAGACATTTGTCATGGTGGTCAGAGCTGTACTAATGCCCATCTAAGGACTACCATCAATACATGAAGGAAAGGTAAGGGGTGGGAGACTTTCAGAAGCAACTGACTTGTTACTCTTGATGGACAGCGCTCCCATCATCAGCAGCACTGCCGAGCAGCCAGGATCAATCTTGAGAACCTCAGCGGCCGCCTCGTCAAACACACTCCGCAGCTGTTGCTTGTCCCCGCTTCCTGACTGCAGACACAATACAACCATGTCATCGTATAGCAGCACTTATAGAAGTATAGATGAGGAGCAGGATTACTTATGTCCTCAATGTGCATTTTTGGCACTTTGTTTGAAACAATAGATACGAATAAACACATACCTCTTTTGATGCTACATTATATATACATGTGTTGGACTCTGATCCATGGCGGGTCTCCAACCTATGATGGACTGCCTCAATTGCAGCAGATGTATACATCCAGATAGATGTATATTCGTCTTTGATAGGCCAGATGTTATATGCTGTTATTTAGATAGCAATGTTATAAGGCCGAACCACACTTTGACAGAATGTGAGAAAATGTGATTAATACTTCTATGTACACTGTTTAGAGCAATGTGTTCATTTGGGTGAACACTACAGATACTTAATGTTCAGGCAGAATGTTCTTTGCCAGTCCGTCTCTTTCAGTCAGTGCAAGATCTGACAATTATCTATACAATTTGGAATTGATCAGTCATTTGTAGTACGACAGTGATGTGTAGGAGTTGTGTACAGTACATGTCTCCCCATGAACAGTTTGAATTGTAAATGTGCCATAGATTTGAGAATCAGTCCTGGATATCTAAATGAATCATTATTGACATGCCATTATACATCAGACTTCTAAATCTGACACAAACCAGGCAATCTGAGTCCTACAATGTTGTACATAAATATTAAAAAGTAATTTTAAACACTGTTTGATAAGTCTTTTCTTGTGATGCAGTCGTGATGTGGAGTGACGTGAATTAAGTTACAGATTGAGTGAACATGTATAGATTTACATAATGTGTGTGTGACATTCAAACAATACCAAACTAGGAAACACTGACGATTGGTTTCACATCTTGTCCTACAAACACAGGGACTGCAACATGAGATCCTGTAAATAATCAAGTCTGGGCAAGGCAAATCAGTGTTTGACAGCATATAATGCAACGATCCCTGTCATCAGCGTACGATGACACACAGCCAGCCAGGTAAGCTCATTAGTTTGAGGAGAGGCCCACCTGCTTGTACTGCACTGCTTGTTTTTGTTTGTTTGTTGTTTAACGCTGCACTCAGAAATATTCCAGCTATATGACGGCAGTCTGTAAATAATCGAGTCTGGTTCAGACAATCCAGTGATTGACATCATGGGGATCGATCTACACAATTGGGATACGATGACATGCATCAACCAAGTCAGCGAGCCTGACCACCCGTTTCCGTTAGTCGCTGTTTACGGCAAGCATGGGTTGCTGAAGACCTATATCACCCCGGTTATTCTAGGGTTGCACCTACCATGATTTGTTGGTACGACAGAGAGGCCAACTTGAGGAGTGACTCCAGCTGCACCTGTCGCTGACTGAAGCAAACACGTCATGGTCACACAGATAAGCATGGAGGATGATACTTAAAACAGACATACAATTCAACAAAGGGTATAGACATATATACAGACTATACTATTTGCTATGACAACAAACAGTACAGTGATGAAGATGTTATCAATATCAGTAGCAGGGACCCCAGGTCTTACAAGATGAATGGGTTCATACACCATGAGACCGAAGAGGTTTACCTGAATGTTAACTCCACTTTTGGCAAATTTCTCATTACAAGTTACAAACTAGGGTTTGGGTGAAATAATGATGTGTGACAATTAGTTTGCCTTGTCTCTTAGACTCTCGGTATGGTAAATCATAGTGTGTACAGGATTAATTGTGACGTGAAAAGCACGTCATTTCACATTAAATATAGTGTGTAGAGGCCGGCCAGCTGACTTGTATTGGTTTTGACAAGACAGCAAGTGGTCAAACAGACAGCCAGATCTAATAAAGAGTAAAGATATTGTCCTCCCAGCTGCAGACATCCCTGCATACCTGTCGGCCTGGGCCAGCTGCAGAGTGTGTCTGATGGTAGTGTCTGCCTCCGCCATCAGCCCCTTCTGCAGGTACATCTCCGTCAGTACCTGGGCCAAGACACACAGGTCTCATTACTCCATTGCTTTAGAACTGCAGGATGTCTACTGCCATTAAAAGGTGTGTGATACCTCTACATCTATGAAAGTACCAACAACATGTACCATAATGTACTGTGTAGAACTTCACATCTTAACAGCACGAAATATTGTCAGCCATTTTGTAATTTTTTGCTGCATCACATATTAACATCATGAATAACATAAGTTTGTTCAAATCATTTTCAAATTTGTTCACATGATAATGTTGTTAATTGTACAGTGTGCGGTAAATATAGAAAACAAAGGACAAAAATAAACAAACCAAATTGTATGTTTTGTTTGTTTCATATAGCTCCCTTTCCTATGTTCAAAGTACAAAACAGGTAGAATATCTCCCTGTTCACAAGGAATGAACACTGACTCCTGATTCTGTCTGACCTGCCACAGATAGAGTTGTCTCCCCTCCATGCAGACCTTCCCTTGAACGGCCTGGAGGTCATCTGTCAAGGCTCCTTCAAGGACCTCAGCAAACAGTCCTGAGCTGTCTGTGGCAGTCGGTAGACAGGATAACTACAAATACAGAAATATAATTAGAGTCATGGCACCACAAATTAGCTGGTTATAAACTCTATTCACTTCACAAGTTAAACATGTCAACAACAGCAGATACTTTATGTATTTGTTGCATCAAATCTATTGCAGATGTGATCAACATCCCAAAAGATCAGGGTACGATTACACACAACAAAGTCACCAAGCCTGAGTCAATACATAGACAAGCATAGGCTGTCAGGAACATCCTACTGTTCCTTACCTCATGGCAATCAATCAGTGACAGTGAATCGGTGTGTAGCACCCTGGAAGTGTTCCTCACCTGCTGGAGTGCCTCCTTGGCCTCGCTCCCTTTGTTACTGAGTACCAGACTGACGACCCTCTGTCTCCAGCACCAGAGTGCCACTCCAGGCTGAGGGGAGTGTTCAGACTCCAGCATTCCTTGTATACGCTGCTGCTCTATGTTCAGAAGCTGACGTCGTCTCTCATCACCACTCAGCACAGCTTCAGCATGGACAGCTGCGATCAAACTGCACTGATTGGACACCTTGTCTGAAAAATGGGGATATTGACCCTTTGAATTTCCAGTTCAGCGGAGCCAAAATTTGTTCCAACCAAATTTGACATGACAAATGGAACAATTCCACCCTTACACAGATATATCAAACACACACATCTTACAAACAACAGATCCCTACCTGGATAGAGGTGCAGAGCCTTCTGCGCAGAGGACAGAGCATTGTTCCGTGTGTCGCACCTGCTGTGGAGTCCGCCCTGGAGCTGACCTACGGTCAACAGAGTGGACACCGACTGAAACAAAGGAGACTCTAAACACAGGACACTTTGGTCGGATCTGCCATCATGTGAAGAGAAGGTCACGAGTAACTGGTGGTCTAACAGAGTAACAGTGTAAACAAACAACTAGACAGGACACATCCACTGCACAGAGGACCTGGCTGAGTACAATCACCTGTATCGTACAAAACACTGAATACAAAGGGGACACGTGACTATTCAAATGAGTTGCCTATCCACAGCATACAGGTCTGTGTTGTGGTCATTACACAAATCCTCACACCGAATCAGCCTTTACCCCATCATCATGTTGAGAGATAACTGAAATTAAAAATCATGTTGCATATATGCTGGTACAGTTGTCTAAAGCCAAACAGGTTGATATTTGTTTATTGCTTAACGCCACACTAAGCATTATTTCTAGCGGTGAACATTGTGATCAATACCAGTAGGGTACGATGATAATGAAGAAACCAAGTCACTGAGTCTGACCACCATCTTCCTGAGGCAAGGGAATTAACCAGATATATGTCCAGTTTCCAACCTTGCCGAACTAGGCTGAAATTATGGAGTTATAGTTTTTCTGGACTAACAAGTCTATCCATAATCCAATCAAAATTGTGTATCGATATCAACATCCCGTTTGTAAACGGCTGTGCAGATATTGATCGATTACAGGATTTGCAAAGTATGTGTACTGCCAAATCGGCATCAACAGATATTTCCAAATCTTTCCATGTTTTTAATCAAGGCGTTCACATGACTTGATGCATGTTAGGCAACTTCCCTGGGTTCGGTTCCGCCCCACCCTGAAGCGCATGTTGCACATGTGGTGTCACTGCTGGGTGAACAGAGGCATATTTTGAACAAAATCTCCTACGCTGAAGGGGAAATACGCCTCTGTTCACCCAGCAGTGAATGGGTGACCGTGAGGATGAGATGGTAATGTGACCTTCTAGCACCTCACAGGCAGCTTCGGTTGTATACCTCCCATGGAACTGAGAATGAAAATCAAGTGCACACTGATCCAATGACCAGGGTAATAATGTTATGCTTTGAGCATGCTTTAGGAAGTGAATTTGGTGCATCATAAATATGCAAATTATTACTTTTATTAAGTCAGCCAGGCTACCAAACAGCTCTAAAGTAACCTCTTGTGATAAGTAAATGTATCTTGTACATTTCAGGACTCAGGACCTATTCTGACCCAGCATCCCTGCAAGGGCGACCTGTTAGAAACTCTGCAACTACGTACCTTGTCTTCAGAGTGAGCGAGATCCTGTGAGGCCCGTGCACAGTGGGATGCTGCGTCTCCCAGGTCCGGGAAGAAACTGGACAGTATGGAAGACAACACTCGCCATAACCGCGGACAGGATGGGTTCTTCTGAATAACTCTCTGAATAGAACGCTTGGCCTCTTTAAGATTACCCTGTAATTTGATTTAAACTGTTTACTGTCTACATGGATAGGACACAAGTGAAAACAATATTGTTTTTATCTTGAAATAAAATACCCAATTTCTTTCATATGTGGTCAATACATGTAGTACATTTTTAACTTCAAACTATTTACTCATAATAGGAAGTCACCATTGTACTTAAGTGAGTGAGAAAGCTTCAATGCCATGTTGGATAGTATTTCATTTATATCACAGCAGTGGATTATTGCACTTATATAGCAACGTGCAAGTATGTGTGTGTGTGTGTGTGTGTGTGTGTGTGTGTGTGTGTGTGAGCAGCTGTTTGTACTAGTCTGGACAAATGCTGATTCTATAGTGCTAGCTCACAGAGATACCATGCCACAGTTTAACATGAACATCCCACTCAGACACAGTATACTGACTCCGAGCTTACCAGTCCTTCATTTAGCCCTTTAACGTTGAGGGCCAGGCAGGGTTACAACAAGTACCATCTTTTAATGTTTTTTGGTATGATGCGGCTGGGGATCAAACCCACCACCTTCCTCTCTCTATGCAGACTAGGGCTGGGACAGGTAACTCGGGTACTCGTGTGGGTCCTGAGAAAGACTTGGGTACCCACAGTATTACCCAGACCCTTGGTTAGTCACATAACATATTGTTTAATGACAAAAACTCACTGGAGCTCAGTGGTTACACTACAAGTCGCTAATGTTCCCATTTCTTTATGATGATGCACACATTCCTTTTGACTTGCATATGTTTGAGTAAAGATGAAGCTTCAGTCATACGCATGATTCGATCGTTTCATAAGAGAGCATATATCTACTATATGGTCTCTGGTTTCAAACATGTATCTAAACAGTTTTTGCCAGGGCTACAGTTAAACTATTCCCAGTTAGACATTGTGTTCCCAACTCTTGAGACCTACAGTGGGTACCCGGGGTAGGGTAGGGTAGGGTAGGGTAGGGTAATAGAGGGTTGGATACCTGGGTAGTAAATTTGGACCAGTCCCAGCCATAATGCAGATGCTCAACCACGGAAGCAGTCTACTCGGGTATGACAGATAAGGGATCATATTTGGGATAAATCAAGGATTCAAACCCTGAACCAGCAAATCCTTGTATGACAAGGGGACACAACTTGAACAGTGACTTGTAGCTGTGTAGACCACTGGGCCAACCCCCATTTTGTTTAGAAAACTCTTGTTATTTTACTGGTATATCCTGATATTTCAGTATGATCAGGTTAAGGAAAGATATAGGTTCTCAGGCAATACAAATGAAAAATTGTGAGGTCAGTCAGGGAGGCTTTTTGGTATATTTTATTTCTGTGTGTGAATGTGCCAGAGGCAAGAGGAGTCAAAGTTTATAAATACCCCATCAAGTCTAAGTAAAGCCTAAATAAACTGCTTTCCTGCTTCTACTGATGAAGGAAAGCCTGTGTACTGTGTATCCACCTACCTGCAGTATACACACAGCAGCAGACAGCCAGGTGACGTCTGGTAGTGATGGATCTTTATCTCCCAGCTTGAAGAGTTCCTGTATGGCTGCCGTGGCGAGGGTGGCGTCAGACTGCAGCAGCCCTAGCGAGCACAGAGCCTGGAGCCCTAGAGCCGACGGAGGAGCCTGCTGGGATCTGTCACAATATGTCCAGGGGAATCAAAGGACTGACATATTTGGATATAATTTTTTTTTATGCAACCTATACAGCTATGTTACACAAGATTTGTGACATTTTAACATTAAAATACTTATTGCTATACATATGTAATCTTTTGTGTTACACAGATGAAAATATGTTGAAGAGTTACCCATTAAACAGTGCTGTTTTGGCACCCTCGACATCACCGAACCTGTAGGCCACCATGCCTAGTGCGGAGTAGATGTGGGACTTGTCCTCATCCAGCTCAGCCATACCAAGGGCCATGTTGTAGGCTAGAGGGAATAAATAACAGATAAAGTCCATTGATTATTGGTAATTCCAGAGAAGTGAATCATACTAAACATATTCCTTAAAACTTTGACAAAGTTCTGTCAACTTTCTCTGCAACCTGTAAGTGTCCTAAATACCTGCCAAGCACCCCACACCCTACTCTACCCACCCTGGTACCTGCCCATCACCCCACAACCTGCTGTACCTGGTACCTGCTCAGCACCCCACAACCTGCTGTACCTGGTACCTGCTCAGCACCCCACAACCTGTTGTACCCACCCTGGTACCTGCCCAGCACCCAACAACATGCTGTACCCACCCTGGTACCTGACCAGCACAACACAACCTGCCCACTCACCCTGGTACCTGCCCAGCACCCCACAACCTGCTGTACCCACCCTGGTACCTGCCCAGCACCCCACAACCTGCTGTACCTGGTACCTGCTCAGCACCCCACAACTTGCTGTAGCTGGTACCTGCCCATCACCCCACAACCTGCTGTACCTGGTACCTGCTCAGCACTCCACAACCTGCTGTACCTGGTACCTGCCCAGCATCCGACACCCTGCTCTACCTGGTACCTGCCCAGCACCTCACAACCTACTCTACCCACCCTGGTACCTGCCCATCACCCCACAACCTGCTGTACCTGGTACCTGCTCAGCACCCCACAACCTGCTGTACCTGGTACCTGCTCAGCACCCCACAACCTGTTGTACCCACCCTGGTACCTGCCCAGCACCCAACAACATGCTGTACCCACCCTGGTACCTGCCCAGCACAACACAACCTGCCCACTCACCCTGGTACCTGCCCAGCACCCCACAACCTGCTGTACCCACCCTGGTACCTGCCCAGCACCCCACAACCTGCTGTACCTGGTACCTGCTCAGCACCCCACAACCTGCTGTACCTGGTACCTGCTCAGCACTCCACAACCTGCTGTACCTGGTACCTGCCCAGCATCCGACACCCTGCTCTACCTGGTACCTGCCCAGCACCTCACAACCTACTCTACCCACCCTGGTACCTGCCCAGCACCCCACAACTTGCTGTACCTGGTACCTGCCCAGCACCCCACAACTTGCTGTACCTGGTACCTGCCCAGCACCTCACAACCTACTCTACCCACCCTGGTACCTGCCCAGCACCCGACACCCTGCTCTACCTGGTACCTGCCCAGCACCTCACAACCTACTCTACCCACCCTGGTACCTGCCCAGCACCCCACAACTTGCTGTACCTGGTACCTGCTCAGCACCCCCACAACCTGCTGTACCTGGTACCTGCCCAGCACCCCACAACTTGCTGTACCTGGTACCTGCCCAGCACCCCACAACCTGCTGTACCTGGTACCTGCCCAGCACCCCACAATCTGCTGTACCTGGTACCTGCCCAGCACCCAAAAACCTGCTGTACCTGGTACCTGCACAGCACCCCACAACCTGCTGTACCTGGTACCTGATCAGCACTCCACAACCTGCTGTACCTGGTACCTGCCCAGCACCCCACAACCTACTGTACCTGGTACCTGCCCAGCACCCCACAACCTGCTGTACCCACCCTGGTAGCTGTCCTCGAATCTGCCCAGCTTGTAGTGAGCCAGGCCAAGGAAACACAGGTCCTCACACTTCTCCAGACTTCCGGCCTTCCCCAACTGTTCCACTGATTCCTTGTAGTTACCTCCCTTGCTACAACATAATTACATGAACATTTCATAGACATATCACAGATTTTAAGCTGGCTTTGTCAAATCCTTATTTTCAAAAGTAGTGACTATCCCACATTTGTTTTTCTGTCTTTGCCAGGAGAATGAAAGGACGCACTCCAGTATCTCACCATAGGACTCTTCCGTAGTTGATCCTGACTTTACCCAGCTGCTCAGTTTGGGTCGAGTCCTTCTCCAGGATCTCCACAGCACTGAAGGGCAATTGTACAATACATGCATGTTACTGATGACAAAATATAGAATCTGAATACCAAATACCATACATGAATACTCAATACTTTTCCTGGTTAAATCTGTTTTCTATCACTCGATGGAATGCCAAGTGTGGCATCATTACAAATAAGGAAGAGAATATATGGATGTCAACTTCTTTATTTATGACCTCATAATAAAGAACTTGACATCCATATATTCTCTTCCTTATGTGAATCACTTCTAAATGTCTTTCAAAGACCATCATTACAAATATCAAGAGTCAGAACATATATATTTAGCAAGATGTCATGCACATTTCTGTTACTGAGGATGTTGGGGCCTGACAACCAGGAAAAAGTTTTCCCCCAAACAGCAACTTTCCCCGACCCTATAAGTGACTATTATGACATGGTTTCCCTCTCAGACTACTTAATCTATGACTAAATCTCACCTCCTGAAGGCCTCGGCCGCGCCGCTGTACAGCTTCTGATGCTCCAGGAGCAGACCGTACATGTTGTACGCTGCCATGTCTGTCTTCACACGACCTGGACAAAGAAAACATATGAGGTGGTCAAACACTGGAATGTAAACTCCTGTGTAACATTACACACAGATCAAACAAGTGACTTCTCACTTGGCTCCTTATTTACACTGCAAGGGCAGATCCAGCATTTATAAAAGGGGGGGTCCAAATTATCAAAATCCTCTCTCAGATAATTTTACAAGCTACAACATACTACATTTGGTTTTCAAAAGGGGGGCCAGGTCCGGACCCCTTGGACCCCCTGGATCCCCTGGACCCCGCCTCTGAATCCGTCTATGCACAGTTTACACTGTTGCTCATGACAGAGTTGGGCTTCACACAGATTTGACCAGTATTTCATTTGTATCATGACATGTTTTCTTCATTTGAGAGGCGAGTCAATCCAACTTCTAGTTCATGATTATTGTCTGCATAATTCATTTGAGTGAGTGAGTTGGGACTTAAAGCCACTTTGAAAAGAATTCCAGTTAAATCACAGTGTATCAGCCTAATGTGGGAGGAAAGCCTGAGGTGATGCAGGTCTCAGATGTTTACCACTTTGGTGAAACCAACAAGCACGGGTATAGTGCTGACAAACACTGAAATATAATCCAGGTGAACTAGATTCAAATCCACAATCTGGTGTGTCCAAGGGACGTAACTCTGCACTGCCACACAAAACAGCTGAGTTATGATCTTCATCATCATCTGAGGTTGGTCCACACCTGTGTATCTGGCCAGAGCATCCGATGCAGCGGGGATGGCGGCCATCTGTTTGATGCTGTACCGGAACAGATCGGTGTTCCTCTTGCTGCGATCCTGCAGTACCTGGCATACCCAGCTGGCGTAGCCCATGGCTCCCTCAACCTGGTGACACATGAACCACTGTCAGTACACTGCTCCATGACTCTGTACAGACTAGCTATCATAGACAGCACTCTGGGCTATATATAGGAAATGCACTTCCAACATATAACAATGATAATAGATGCTATCACTGACCATTGCCAGCCTGAGCTATTTCACATTTTATAATGTTAACAATACTGTGTCAATTATATCATCCCTAGACAATCAGAAAACAGGTTCAATAAGACTAATGCGACAAATGGGATCAGGTGGTCAGGCTCGCTGACTTGGTTGATGCATGTCATCGTATCCTAATTGCGTACATTGATGCTCATGATGTCAATCACTGGATTGTCTGGTCCGGACTCGATTAGTTACAGACCGCTGTCATATAGCTGGAAGAAAACATTCCCGAGTTCTCAATGGGAAATAACTCATGCCACTATGGTAAACAGGGAACTTCAAACAATGACCAAATTAACCTTTACAAAAAGGCTACAAAAAGACCAGTTATTACTTCAAAGTTCGAACACTTCCTGTTACACATGTATCCCAGCATGTAGTTGTATTGACATGCTGGTAACTTTCCATCAAACATGTTAACATCCTATTTCAATAATGCTGCCAGAAATCATTATAGATATACATAGGTAACAAATCCTTCACATGAAGCAGAATACTTACATTAGTGCCTAGTTCGGTTGTGTGACGGAACAGGTCCATGGCGTCATCATGTCCAACTATCTCAGCTATCAGGGCCTTGAAAAGAGTAAACAGATTAACCCAATGTGTTCCCTAGCAGAATAAACAAATAGAACATGAAGATTAAACATGTATAAACAGATCAACCTAAGTTATTACACCCGGGTAGAATAAACAAATGGAACATCAAGAAGAAACAAGAATAAACAGATCAACCTAAGTTATTACACCCATGTAGTATAAACAAATAGAACACCAAGAAGAAACATGAATAAACAGATCAACCTAAGTTAATACACCCGTGTAGAATAAACAAATAGAACACCAAGAAGAAACATGAATAAACAGATCAACCTAAGTTAATACACCCGTGTAAAATAAACAAATTGAACATCAAGAAGAAACATGAATAAACAGATCAACCTAAGTTATTACACCCGTGTAGAATAAACAAATGGAACATCAAGAAGAAACAAGAAGAAACAGATCAACCTAAGTTATTACACCCATGTAGTATAAACAAATAGAACACCAAGAAGAAACATGAATAAACAGATCAACCTAAGTTATTACACCCATGTAGTATAAACAATTAGAACATCAAGAAGAAACATGAATAAACAGATCAACCTAAGTTATTACACCCATGTAGTATAAACAAATATAACATCAAGAAGAAACATGAATAAACAGATCAACCTAAGTTATTACACCCGTGTAGAATAAACAAATAGAACACCAAGAAGAAACATGAATAAACAGATCAACCTAAGTTATTACACCCGTGTAGAATAAACAAATAGAACATCAAGAAGAAACATGAATAAACAGATCAACCTAAGTTATTACACCCGTGTAGAATAAACAAATAGAACACCAAGAAGAAACATAAATAAAAAGATCAACCTAAGTTATTACACCCGTGTAGAATGAACAAATAGAACATCAAGAAGAAACATGAATAAAAAGATCAACCTAAGTTATTACACCCGTGTAGAATAAACAACTAGAACATCAAGAAGAAACATGAATAAACAGATCAACCTAAGTTATTACACCCATGTAATATAAACAAATAGAACACCAAGAAGAAACATGAAACAGTCATCTTAATCATTCTAATGAATCATTCTTAATGAATTTCACTGTATCCAGGCAGGGAAGGCGGCCAGTGTTGGGTGTCACAGGTGTGATCCGGTACTGACCTGTCCAATCCAGCAAGCAACGTAACTTGGGTCAAGACTCTGGGCTACTTTGAAAGCTTCATGGGCAAGCTGAAAAAGTGAGAAAAAAAATTACAAACCTGTAGAGGTTATGAATTCTCTGATGAAATCCTCCTTGGGGCACTTATTGCATTTTCCTTGCTCAAGAAAATCTACATGACATAGTTGTAACCATTTTCCTTAATAAAAAATGTTACCACACAAAAAACTTCGTTTTTGTATGATATACGACCACCTTTACGGGGCCTCACCCCCAACGGCGCCTCACGCCAGGGGGAGCAACTCTCACCCAAATCACTTTCCATATGTCAAATGCTGACGGAATGTGGGGAGGTGGGTGGCCGTGCCCCAAGGAGGATTTCATCAGAGAATTCATAACCTCTACAGGTTTGTAAAATTCTCTTTCTGATTAAATCCTCCTTGGGGCACTTATTGCATCAAGACAGACTCCCAAAGACAATCTAGGAAGTGGCATCCGTCAGCAACAGGCGTAAATAAATACATCGTATTTGATTATTCAACAGAATAAAATATTGAGTTCAATAAATGGAACCAACCTTATCGTGAGGCACCACCGTCGAAAGGCGGGGGCTAGAGACAGGGCGTGGTCGACCATATATTATGATAAAGCCTGTTTTTGCGGCTTGTCATAAGTTGAGAACTCGAAACACCTCCCACCCCCCAACACTTTTTTTGAACAAGTGATATAAGGGCGTAGATCACGAGAGACCATAACCAGCGCTGAGCTAGGCCAGAGGGTCCCCGAGGATCGAAGGAGTGCGTGCGCAAAATACGAGTATTATCGAGTAGTAAGGACTGATATTTATCGACCGCAGAAGATAAAATCCGGACCATTACTGAGCAGTATAACCGGAAGACTGTCTAAAATCTCGAATGCTCAATCAGCTAGAGATTAGAACTTTGCCCAGTTCGGAGAACTGACTGACCAGACCGAGTACGCTCGCTTGAGTGTTTGTCGAGTTGGTAAGGTTTGATGAATCGTGCTCGGCTGGCTCCAAATAGCCGCGGAGCAGATCTTCTCAATGGGCAGAGCCGCGGCGTACGCTTTTGACGCAGCCACTGCTCTAACCTAATGAGCCTTCAACCTGGTAGGGAGGTCCCTGCCTGTAAGCGTATACGCTGTACAAATGGTTGAAACTATCCACCTCGAGATAGATTGTTTACTCGCAGGTGAGCCAACCTTCCTACCGCAGTAACAGCAAATTAATTGGTTATCCTTACGGACACCCATAATTCTGCTGATATAGGCCTTGAGAGTCGTGCGGACATCCAAGACATGAGCATGTCTTGCAGTGGTCCCCGACGAGGAAGGCTGTGAAAGAGCAGGTAGCTCAATAGGAGCCGTTCACGTGGAATCGTGTGCGACCCTAGGACGGTAATAGTCCGGTAGACGAAAACTGACTGTCCCGGTGATATTTATCGACCCCATGGAAGACAGTTATTTTGGGATCGGCTGACATAACACGAATGTCGCCTACCCGTCTGCCGGACGTTACCACCACAAGGAACGCCGTCTCCCAGCTCAACAGCTGAAGAGAGAGAGACGACAGATCCCGAAAGGAAGGACCGGACAGCCAATCGAGAATGATTGACAAGTCCCAAGGGGGACTGATCCGCCGGACTGGCGGTCGGATCCTGTCCACACCTGCTAAAAAGCGCTGCACTAATGGGTGTGCACCCAGAAGTGCCCCGTCGACAGGGACGTGAAAAGCTGCGATAGCTGTAGAGTACCCTCGGACTGTTGATGCGGCCAGGCCGTCATCTAGTCGCGACTGGAGAAACTCAAGCACGGATACGAGATCTGCAGAAAAAAGATCTGCAATCCCTCTATCGACACACCAGGGCGCATAGCAGGCCTATCTATCGTACTGAACGTTTGTCGAATCCCTCTGCGAAGCCAGTATTGTGTCTGCAACTCGTGCAGGAATACCGCTCTTCTGGAGGCGATTCCTGACAGTGGCCAAGCCACCGATTGAATCCTGAGATTCGGGTGGAGGGCCCCGTTCTGGGATAGGAGGTCCGGTCGTAAAGGTAATATAACAGGAGGCTGAGCCAGAAACCCGAGTATTACTGGAAACCCACTCTGCGCCGACTAAAGAGGTGCCAGGAGCACAATTAGTCGCGCAGGCTGAGTGCCTAGCTGAGACAGGACCTTGGAAATCAGAGGTACTGGGGAGAATGCCCACAGAACTGTCCGTCCAATCTAGCTGAAAGGCGTCCGGTGCCACCGACCACGGGTCGTGGACTCGGGAGCAGAATGTTGGTGTCTGGTTATTTAACCCAGACGCAAACAGATCCACCTGTAACGACCTGTATAACAGGGAGAAAATCCCGAATATCCCCGGGTCGAGCCTCCACTCGTGAGGAGCGAGGATCTGGCAAGACAGAGCGTCCACACGGACGTTGTCCACCCCCGGGAGATAAACAGGTAGCACCCTGATATCGTGAGAGTCGCACTATAGTAGGAACTGCCACGTCTTTCGTCGAAGCGACGGAGACGCCGTTCCTCCCTGCTTCCGGATGTAAGTCATCGCCGTTTGGTTGTCCATCTCTAGACGAACCACTTGGCCACGAAGCAGATCCGGGAAGCGTTGGAACACTAACCTGACCGCTCTCAGTTCTAGCACATTGATATGCAGTTTGATCTCCTGCTGGGACCATAGTCCCGAGGCAGTGTGATCATTCAGAACGCCTCCCCAGCCGGAGAGTGACGTGTCTGTTTGAACTGTGAGAGACGGAACGGGAGTGATTCCCGACCTCGGTCCACCACTGGAGGTGTGTAATGAGCCACTACGGAGTCTCGAGCACAGTCTCGAGATCTTCCGAGTTCGCCCAAAGTCGACGGAGTGCTTGTTGAATGGGACTCATTCTCAAGCGCGCCCGCCAGACCAAATCCACTGTCGCCGCCATGTTGTCCAGTAACTGGAGCCATGTACGAGCAGTGTGACTTGCGCTTAAGGGACTTGATATCTTGTGACAGAGATACACGTCCTCTCACCGTGTTGAAATTAGCCACTAGGAAGACTAGATTCTGAGTGGGGCTCAGATCTCACTTCTTGAGATTGACCATACACCCTAGAGTGATCAGAATATCTATCACTTGTTGTGTAGCTATCTGACTCAGGGATTGCAATAGAGCTCTTAGTAACCAGTCGTCGAGGTACGGATGGCAGAACCGACCTTTTGAACACCCTTGGGGCCGTGGAGATCCCGAATGGTAGAACACTGAACTGATAACACCTCCCGTCGAAAGAAAACCTCAGGTATTTCTTGAAATCGGGGTGTATTGGTATGTGGAGATAGGCGTAGTTTAAGTCTATTGACGTTAGCCATTCTCCTGTCTCGACAGTTGAGATCACTGTTTGGTGACTAGGAAACAAGTCGAGTAGAAGCCCTCGCTTTCCTGTCCCTCGGGACCCGGTTCGATCGCAGCTTTCATAAGAAGTGCGTCGACCTCGGCACGGAGGAATTCCGCCTTCTCTCGGGTAGCAGGCACCGGAGTGTGCTTTATCCCGGAAAAGTGGAGGAGCGGATGAGTTTTCCACCGAGGCAAATGGCCATCCCTTAAAATGGACGGGGGCTGGGGATTGTGATGTAACTGTCTCCCATTCCTTCAGGAATAGAGCCAGTCGGCCGCCTACGGGGACATCCGGCTGGAGGCAGTGGACCCCGGCTGTCGGCAGTTCGATAACTTGCGACTGTGGGTTCACCCGGGGCTCTTCGGGCGCTAATGGGAACCCATCGTTCCCAGCCCCGCGAAAAAGCTGTTGGACTCGACCAGCTGCCTTGCCCCGGCCCGTGCCTCTCTTGCTCCTCCCGGCGCCCTTATACCTGAAGGAAGCGGCGGCTTCCAAGCAGGTGTGGACGTCTGACCCGTGCGTTAGCGTAGGAGGGGACAATTGGAGAGGCCCGCTTACGCGGTTTTAACGCTTGGTACCTCCAACAAGGCCTTATGAGTCTTTGATGGAAGTATACAATTGAGCAGCCTCTCGGACCACCTGCTGAGCCCCAGGGAAGAGGGTGGCACCCTCTTATACGGCAAAGCAAGTAGGTCTTGGCGTGTGTAAGTCGAGTATTTAGATACCGACATCCACCGCCTGCGCATGCTCATAACAGCGCACATCATCTGCGAGGCACAGCTACGAATAGCGTCCCTCGCAAGATAACTGAACTTCCGTTAGTTGCGCGGCCAACTCCGAAGAGTCGGCCGGCCCCTCTCCCGCTAACTCCCTCTGTACAGCCGACAGATACGCGGAGTGTACGGACACACGGAGCTGTTGGCATGCATTATGATATTGCTCCTCGAAGCATATGTAAGCAGCCTTCAACTCCGCACCGCACACGGGAAAGGGGGGGCAACCGCCGGCCCCTGGACAATCCTGTCCCGCACTTGTCTCTGCACCCGGCCCGAGGCCGAGTCCCGGTGCCGAGGTGCCAGGGGTTCAAGTGAACCCACCTGGCGCCGGGCTATGTATCCACTAGTGGAAGCCTCGGCCTCAGAAGAGGCGTCTGGCTCCGCTAGGGAAAATTGTGCGTCGGTAGTGCACGGGCCGGTGCCCGCCACCACTACGCTGGGGAGCGACCTCGAGCCGGAGCCGAAGCTCGGTCTCGGATCGCCCCCGAGACAAAGGGAACCAACCTGGCTCCGGGCTAGGTATCCACTAGTGGAAGCCTCGGCCTCGGAAGAGGCGTCTGGCTCCGCTAGGGAAAATTGTGCGTCGGTAGTGCACGGGCCGGCGCCTGCCACCCCTCCGCTGGGGAGCGACCTCGAGCCGGCGCCGAAGCCCGGTCTGAGATCGTCCCCGAGACCAAGTGGCCTGCCTCGGCCGATGCCGGGCATATCACAAGGTCTCGAAGCCGCGTCCGGCGCCGACAACGGGGAAGGCTCGGTCCGCATCTCCTCTCGGAGCTGAGACTTTACCTCCTCCATCATCGACGCCATCTACGACTTAAGAAACGCAGAAAAGTCTGCCAAAGACAGTGCAGGAGAGGGTGCAGTGCTTACTACGGGGACCCTCGAGCCTTCTCCCCCGGCCCCCGGAGAGGGAGCGGGGGAGACAATCTCGGCAGCTTTTTTACCCTTTTTAGATGGGGAGGGGGAGGGGGGGGGGGGGGGGATGTCTTAGTAGATCTGATATCTACCCCCGCCTTTAATAGACCTCTTTAAAGTGGAACAAGTCAACTTGTCTCTTTTTGGGGGCCCCGGGGAGTAAAGGCAATGTCCTCCGCCAGACATATAAGGCAGCGTTAGAACAACCCGTACACAGTTTGAAGGTCTTGTTTTTACTCTAACAAGACCGTAATTTCTGAGGTGGGCGGGAAGGGTGTCAACGTGTATCAGTGCGATATAAAGATCGGGAAGATACGTGCATAAATTGTGAAACTAGAAGCAAAGGCGTAATGTACAATGCGATTTGTAACGCGATACTAATAGCCAATGTCGTAGTATAATTATAACACCAAAAGGGCGTGTTACGCGCTAAGGTGTAAAACCCGTAAAAAAGGTAAGTGTAGTTTATGAGTTAACACACCACCTTGGGTTTTGTAAAGGAAAAAATTGTAGACCAATGCTGTATGATATAACAAAACCCCAAGCCGTTTCTTAATGGCCTTGGTGTTACATGTATCAGCCCGTGGAACAAAAATATGGACGCCATTACGGCCATTTGAATTCAAAGGTACCGTGCACGTGGCGTATTATTACAACTCTATAACTTCACAATGGGAGGTATTACGCCTTTGCAATGAAAGAAATGTACCATACATACAGTTTGGTCAGCCATGGTTCTTGTCGAACGACAGATTTCTCTTATTTTTGTCTTGTGTGAAAAATCAACACGTCTGTCTCTTACAGATGACATAAGGAAAGTGATTTGGGTGAGAGTTGCTCCCCCTGGCGTGAGGCGCCGTTGGGGGTGAGGCCCCGTAAGGGTGGTCGTATATCATACAAAAACGAAGTTTTTTGTGTGGTAACATTTTTTATTAAGGAAAATGGTTACAACTATGTCATGTAGATTTTCTTGAGCAAGGAAAATGCAATAAGTGCCCCAAGGAGGATTTAATCAGAAAGAGAATGAGTGATTTGGGGATTACAAATATTCAGTAGATGTGTTCAATTTGAAACTGACCTTGATAGATGATTAACACTTACTTGCACATTATCATTCTTCAGGTACAATGTTCCCAGGTTGGTCCAGGCAACAACGTTCTGGAACAAGAACTGACATGGTCTAACACTGTATGTTACTGACACTATCACCTGTTCTGGACTGGTCAGTACCAGAGTTGGGTTGGGGAGAACCAGGGTGAGAGGTTTACTGTCACCTCAACCCCTGACAGGGCAGTGGGGTATATCTGTGTAAGTCCACCCTGGGGTCCAATCTCTGGTTAAAACAACTAACATAACTGACCAGTCCTGTATTTACACATACATGTATACACTAAAAGTAATTGATGTTGTAGAAATAGGGGATGAATAAATTATCAGGGCTTCCTCCCGATAATAATGCTCACTGACAAGATGTGTCAAGTGAATATCAGTGCCAGCAGTAAGACGTACGTTACTCTCCACTTCTATGGACTTGATGAAGCAGTGCTGGGCGAGCTCTGGCTTGTAGCAGTCTGTGGACAGCAAGCAAGTAGTGCATCATTATATTCCTGGGAGGAAAGTCAAAACACATCACATCCTGCTCCAGTGTGGAGAAAAGGGTGAGGCAGACACAAGTGATGAACAAGTCAGTTTCAGAGTACACATCTCAACAAAACCCAACTCTTTCCTGGGGTGAATATTAACATCATTTTTACTATTGCAATAAGATTGGGATAAAATCAGTTTAAATCGCTACTGCAGTATTACTGCAGCATAGGTACAACCATTGCAGTAATATTACGATATAGCTTGGTCAGCAGCTGTTTTGTCTTACAACATATATTTCCTTGCATTTAGGAAACCCTAATATGTCTGCCAGGTCGTAGGTTCAGCAGTCATTACTGCCCAATATCAGCTTAATTCCAGAATGTTGTGTCAGTGCCTTCCCACATTTATATCATGGATCAAGTCAATCTCATTAGCGGTAGCAAAACAAAGATCTGAGGACATCCCATTACGGGTCATGTCAGAACGACCTTTCGTTAATTTTGACAAACCAATGAAATGAGTTCAAATGACTGACAAGAAATCGACATTAGCCAATCAGAAGACAGCTTTCTCGAGCTTTACGACACTGGTTTCCAACTGGCGACTACTTTTGAAACATATTTTGATGTATTCTCGATTAAAAATGTTAAAACTGATAAGAAGAACATTCAGGAATGGCTTATAGATGGCGTAGATTGTATGGATATAATCATAAAACCCGTAACTGTCATTCGGTATACCCCGTGTTAAATATTTCGTGGCTGCATGATCAGAAAACACATTCCGACTGTCACTTTCACAATCTGGTAAGCGACGCTCTGATTGGTTGGATGAAAGGTTGTTCTGACATGACCTGTAATGGGATGTCCTCAGATCTTTGTTTAGCGATAGCGAGAACTAAGATCGGATTTTAATGAGATTGTGGATCAAGTTGAATGGATAGTGTAGTGAATCACCAATGTTGACTATTGGTCGATTGATATTTTAACTTGCTCTCAATATATTGACACACTGCCATGGACAACTACAATCAAGCCATAATTTGATCAATCGATTAACCCCTGCCGATTTCCAATGTAAAAAGTTACTCTTAATTTCATTCTATACAGAAACAGGTAATTAAGGAGCACGATATTTGTAAAGACCTATTCTGTTGCATACCCATTGTCAGCAGGCAAGGTATGACAGGCTTACTCACATTTGGCACATACCACTACCCCCAGGGCATTCCAGTGGCGGAAGTTGTTGGGGTCCAGACTTATAGCTTTCTTCAGGGCCTGAATGGCTTTCTGGGATAGCTCTACTGATGCTGATGTGGACAGCTCTGATTGGTGGAAATAGTTGACCCCCAGGTCATGCCAGAGAGAGGCACTCTCTGGAATGCTCTTCAAGGCTCTACCATAGCACCTGCAGAAGGATCAACAGAAGTACTGACCAACAGTAGGTGTGTGTACTGTGATCAAGTAGGACAACTCTTGCAACATCATTACAATCCCATTATCAAAGAAGGTGGAGTAAGCTGGTGCAAGTCCATATATCTTGCATTGTAATTTCATCTGAATCTAGCAGACCAGAATCCTTTGATAATTTCAAAAAATAATTCATAGAAAACCTCTACTGCAGCATAACTTGTAGAAGTATTTCTTACCTGGCTCCAACCTGCAGGACCTCCATCTTCCCCAGGGACACTATGTCCTGGGACGACTGCTGGACCAGCTTGGCAGGAAGCTGCAGACTAACAGAGATATAACACATCACTGGAGAAAGCTGTAGACTAACAGAGATATAACACATCACTGGAGAAAGCTGCAGACTAACAGAGATATAACACATCACTGGAGAAAGCTGCAGACTAACAGAGATATAACACATCACTGGAGGAAGCTGTAGACTAACAGAGATATAACACATCACTGGAGAAAGCTGTAGACTAACAGAGATATAACACATCACTGGAGGAAGCTGTAGACTAACAGAGATATAACACATCACTGGAGGAAGCTGCAGACTAACAGAGATATAACACATCACTGGAGAAAGCTGTAGACTAACAGAGATATAACACATCACTGGAGAAAGCTGTAGACTAACAGAGATATAACACATCACTGGAGGAAGCTGTAGACTAACAGAGATATAACACATCACTGGAGGAAGCTGTAGACTAATAGAGATACAACACATCACTGGATGAAGCTGCAGACTCACAGAGATATAACACATCACCGGAGGAAGCTGCAGACTAACAGAGATATTACACATCACCGGAGGAAGCTGTAGACTAACAGAGATATAACACATCACTGGAGGAAGCTGTAGACTAACAGAGATATAACACATCACTGGAGGAAGCTGCAGACTAACAGAGATATAACACATCTTTGGAAGAAGCTGTAGACTAACAGAGATATTACACATCACTGGAGGAAGCTGCAGACTAACAGAGATATAACACATCACTGGAGGAAGCTGCAGACTAACAGAGATATAACACATCACTGGAGGAAGCTGTAGACTAACAGAGATATAACACATCACTGGAGGAAGCTGTAGACTAACAGAGATATAACACATCACTTGAGAAAGCTGTAGACTAACAGAGATATAACACATCACTGGAGAAAGCTGTAGACTAACAGAGATATAACACATCACTGGAGGAAGCTGCAGACTAACAGACATATAACACATCCTTGGAGGAAGCTGTAGACTAACAGAGATATAACACATCACTGGAGGAAGCTGTAGACTAACAGAGATATAACACATCACTGGAGGAAGATGTAGACTAACAGAGATATAACACATCACTGGAGGAAGCTGCAGACTAACAGAGATATAACACATCACTGGAGAAAGCTGTAGACTAACAGAGATATAACACATCACTGGAGGAAGCTGCAGACTAACAGACATATAACACATCCTTGGAGGAAGCTGTAGACTAACAGAGATATAACACATCACTGGAGGAAGCTGTAGACTAACAGAGATATAACACATCACTGGAGGAAGCTGTACACTAACAGAGATATAACACATCACTGGAGGAAGCTGTAGACTAACAGAGATATAACACATCACTGGAGGAAGATGTAGACTAACAGAGATATAACACATCACTGGAGGAAGCTGTAGACTAACAGAGATATAACACATCACTGGAGGAAGCTGCAGACTAACAGAAATATAACACATCACTGGAGAAAGCTGTAGACTAACAGAGATATAACACATCACTGGAGGAAGCTGTAGACTAACAGAGATATAACACATCACTGGAGGAAGCTGTAGACTAACAGAGATATAACACATCACTGGAGAAAGCTGTAGACTAACAGAGATATAACACATCACTGGAGGAAGCTGTAGACTAACAGAGATATAACACATCACTGGAGGAAGCTGTACACTAACAGAGATATAACACATCACTGGAGGAAGCTGTAGACTAACAGAGATATAACACATCACTGGAGGAAGCTGTATACTAACAGAGATATTACACATCACTGGAGGAAGCTGTAGACTAACAGAGATATAACACATCACTGGAGAAAGCTGTAGACTAACAGAGATATAACACATCACTGGAGGAAGCTGTAGACTAACAGAGATATAACACATCACTGGAGAAAGCTGTAGACTAACAGAGATATAACACATCACTAGAGGAAGCTGTAGACTAACAGAGATATAACACATCACTTGAGGAAGCTGTAGACTAACAGAGATATTACACATCACCGGAGGAAGCTGCAGACTAACAGAGATATTACACATCACCGGAGGAAGCTGTAGACTAACAGAGATATAACACATCACTGGAGGAAGCTGTAGACTAACAGAGATATAACACATCACTGGAGGAAGCTGCAGACTAACAGAGATATAACACATCCTTGGAGGAAGCTGTAGACTAACAGAGATATTTGTAGAATTTTCCTATTCGGAATATTCTATAAGTAATACGTTACCACTGTTATACCGAGGCTGTTGTCTCCCACAACTGCTGCTATAGCGAAATCTACCACAGAGATCTCAATTACCTCATGCAGCACGTGCGTAGCCACCCAGCTGCCATGTGACACCCTTCACTCTTGTCTCCTGCGAGAGCAAGTGCTCGGGGGACGGACGGGCGGGCAGCAGCCCAGTGGTAACGTATTACTTATAGAATATTCCGAATAGGAAAATTCTACAAATTACATTAAGTAATACGTTACCACTGTTATACCGAGGCTGACTACCACAGTAGGCGGTGGGGAGCACCTACAACCCGAATCCTGACTGCTAGCGTTCCTTCCGACCAGCGGAAGTAAACACCAAGGCGGAAGCACTCGATGCGCATGCACCTAGCTAGGCGTTACCCTATAGGAATACCAAAGCACTGTCAAGCGCATACCGTAAGGCTCAATCGTCATTGCCAAAACGATTGGTGACTCCAAACGGCCCCACTGGATAGGTATTTCATCGCCGCAGCGGATGAGAACACTGTATCCGCGTGAGCTTAATCTTAGATCAGGTTAAACAGTCGAAAAGAGGGAAATTAATTTCATTCAGACCGTATATCCCAGAGCAAGCCTACTTAAAGTATGCATTAGGCGCGTGACCTAATTCCAGTATTTGTAAGCATGCATCACAAGGTTGGGATACACGACAGACAATTAAAGACATAATTGTCAAAATACAAATAAGGACAAAGCACACAAAAAGCGGCCCTCACCTGTGGTGTGAGTGCGCTGGTTTGCGGGACCCCAACTCCTGTACCCACGGCAGTGGGAACATTGGAGTCGACCCAGATTGACCACCGTGCAAGGTCAGACGCCTGAGGAGTTCGGAATTGCGCTTGGCACACCCCTTAGGTGCCCGCTTGCGCCGCGATCCGCGGGCCAAGACGGTGCACACTCTCCACGACGGCATCAGCGACCTGTTTGAGGTAATGATTGGCAAAAACCGAGTCAGAACGCCAGTAACAACCTCGTAATATTCTGCGAACAGAGATATTCGAGTGTAGGGCAAATGTTGCCGCTAGCGCCCTGATCTCGTGCGGGTTTGACCCCGCTACAGGTAACCCCCGAGACCGGTACGCCAGATTGATGACAGAACGAAGCCACAACGCAATCGAGTTGCGAGTTACGTCAACCGTGCGATTAGGGTTACACGATATGAACAGACGGTCACGCCCTTGTCTACGTTCATTCGAAGCCTTAAGATAATACTTAAGGGCCCTAACCGGACACAGCGCTCTGTCCTCAGTATCAGCAGGATGTAAGATTTCTTTGAGTGATCTTACAGTGAATTCTCTCTCCGTTTGCCCGACTCTCTGATTCTTGGCGACGAAGCCCATGAGCAGGCCCAGGCGGACCGCTCCTTCGTCACCCCTATCGAATCGTACCTTGGCGACATCGAGTGCATGAATTTCGGATACAGGTGGCGCCGTGGCAAAGGAGAGGAGAAATGCTGTTTTCCAAGTCACATGCCGGAACGAAGCACTATGCAAGGGTTCATACGGAGCTTCTGTAAGTGATTGCAACACTAGGGAAAGATCCAAGGCCGGTGCCCGAAGGCGGCCCTTCTTAAGATCGTGCTGTTTGAAACCCTTGATAATACCCCGTATCACCGGCTCTTTGGAGAGACTAGTACCCATAGCAACGTCCCGTACCGTAGCAACGGACGAGACATAGTTGGCAATGGAACCCCCGGAGAGTTTCCGGGTCTCTCGCAAGTGAGACATGAAACGAGCAATATCCTGCACAGATACCTTATCTGGCGAATGAATGTGATGTTTACAACACCACTTCGTGAAAATAACCCAACGTGCATTATACACCTTCTGGGTAGAATCACGATGCATACTAACGTATGCCCGAGACGCCCGGCGAGAAAAAACTTTACTCCTCAGACGCTCGGTGACAACATCCACGCGTGCAGATTGAACTGCCCTGCGTTTGGATGAAGCTGACGGGTGTGAGGGTGGATCAAGAGATCCGGTCTCACAGGCAGTGGAAGTGGCGACTGCGTGACCTGGGTCAGCAAGTCGGGGTACCACGATCTGTTCGGCCACATGGGCGCGATCAGTAACATTCGACAGCGAACTCCTCGGAGCCGGCTTAGAATGTGTGGTATCAACGCTGTCGGCGGGTAAGCATAAGCGACCAAGCCCGTCCAGTCTAACGCGAGAGCATCGTGATCGATGGCCCTCGGGTCCGGGACTGGTGATACAAACAACGGGAGTTGATTGTTGAACCGCGTTGCGAACAGGTCGACCATCGGACGACCCAAACGTTCGCACAGCCACTGAAACACTACTGGGTTCAGCATCCACTCTGTGGGGCTCGGATCCTGAGGCCTCGATAGAGCATCGGCCAGTACGTTCCGCACACCTGGGATGTGACGGGCGCGTATCTGGCACGGTACACTGTCCACCAGAGCGTAAAACTCGAACGTGAGATCGAGTAGCGAGTGACTGTGGGTTCCCCCCAGTTTGTTCACATAGGACACTACCGTCGTGTTGTCGGTCGCCAGCATGAGCCGGGCGTCGACGAGACGATGCTTCCAGTGATTGACTGCGTTGATCACTGCCTTGAACTCGAGACAAGTGATGTGAAGACCTAGTTCGTCTACGCACCACAGCCCCGAGCTCACCTCCCCCTTTAGATGGGCGCCCCAGCCAGACGGGCCGCTGCAGCCAAGTAAGTGTCTCCGTGAGACATGGAGTGCCGAGCGAGGGCGTCC